GTGAGAGAGAGAGAGAGAGAGAGAGAGAGAGAGACAGAGAGAGAGAGAGAAAGAGAGACAGAAAGAGAGAAACACAAAGAGAGACAGAGAGAGAGTAAGAGAGAGAGAGAGAGAGAGAGAGAGAGAGAGAGAGAGAGAGAGAGAGAGAGAGAGAGAGACATACACGATACCTTGATCAGCCAACGTTCTCTTCCCCCGCGACGACGCAAAGACCCGGTGATCGCCAGACGATGCATGCATGTTGGCTGCCTGCTGACGATCACAACGTTCCGGCTGCCGACGTCCCGCCAGACGACGCGTCCCCGCACAGCCCTCGACAGGCGCCCGACCTGCATGAACCCGCCCTCGCCCTCCCAACCCGCATGAACCCGCCCTCGCCCTCCGTCCCCGTGCACCCCCAGACCGCCCGCGGCGAAACCGATCGGACAGGATCCGGCGAACACCGCGACGACCGGTTCCAACCACGGTGCCGCTCCGCAACCGCTCTCTGCTGTGCGGGGCAGTGGCAGCGGCCGCGGGTCTCGCATGACTGAGGGGTGGCGTTCTCGAAAGAACCAGGTCTCATCTGGGACCCTGCCACCGCCGGCGGTGTCTCCCGTGGGCCCGTCACGCGAGATCCGCCTTTACCTTTAGGGTATTAGAGATAGAGAAGAAAAAAAAAAAGAAAAAAAAGAAAAAAAAAGAAATGGCCCTTAAAAAAAAATAGAAAAAAAGAAATCGAACCATAAGGGTGTCCATGGGAAGTCCTCTAAAATGCAAATGAGGGAAGCCAGGGGCTCGTTCGACACTCCTCGGGCCCGTAAAGTCCCTGAGGAATTGTGCGTTCCACCTATCCTCGGCGATGCAGTCGGAAAAAAAAAAAAAGGGAAAACACTCCGAAGGAAATTTCTTTGGCTCCGAGGATTCACCCGCCATTTCTTCCTTTTGCCCAAGGGACCTCACGAGGTCGAGGTCCCTTGGGCAAAAGGAATCCGCGTTTCGCGGAGAGGAGCGGGCACATGGGTAGAGAGACGTTACAACGGAGAATCTGGATCGTGGCGGCACCCTATTGGCTGAAGGCCTCAAACACATTTGATTTTTTTTTTCTTTTGTTTTCTTTTTTCGTGTCTGACATCGTTCAAAGGAAATGTCCTCGGGCGATGCCCCCAAGGACAGGTGGAACAATGGCGGGAATTTCCTCAAGGAAACTTCGTTTGGCCCCAAGGACGCCCGAAGGAGTGTCGAACGAGCCCTCTAATCCCAAAGAGCGGGTTGGGGTGGGGGAGGAGACACAAGTGTTGAAGGGGTAAAACCGTAAAAGGTAAAGTGAGGGGAAGGGTGAGGGGGAAGAGAGTGGGCAAGAGGGGCAGCAGCTATAGCTGAAAAGTCAGGGATGGAGAAGGAGAGGGGCTTTTTTTTTTTTTTTTT